TGAAACACGAGGTTTTTCAGCGTGTTAATCAGTTGAATTAAAGTACTTCTAAAAATGAAACACAGTAGATACCAAGATTTGTTCAGCGTACGGAAAAACGAATTACAAATAGCAACTCGAGATTTTTCACGTAAAACAAGCTGTATTACACTACTTCTAAAAATGAAGCACAGGTAGGTAATGAAGATTTTTTTCAGCACTTGAAAGGAAGCGTATTATTGCTACTTCTAGAAACGAAATAAGCTGTGTTTACTACTCTACTTCTACAAAAAAAAATACGAAAAGTGCTCAAGATTCTTTAAGCGCTTGAACTAAGCTGAATTATACTACTTCTAAAAATGAAACACAGTAGACACCAAGATTTTTTCAGCGTACAAAAAAACGAAACATAAATAATAGTCACCCGAGATTTTTTCACCTAAAACAAATTATGTTATACTAGATGCTTTCAGAGCTTCAACTTAAGCGGAATTATACTATTTCTAAAAATGAAACACGAGTAGGCACCCGAGAATTTTTTTGCACATGATTTTTTCAGCATACAGAAAAACGAAATAGAAGTAGTCATCCGAGATTTTTTCACGTAAAACTATGTTGTACTAAATTATTTCGGTGCTTCAACTACGTCGAATTATACTACTTCTAAAAATGAAACACGAGTAGGCACCCGAGAATTTTTTTGCACATGAAGCATTATGTCACTTCTGAATACGAAACACCGATTGTTAGACGAGGTTTTTTCGGGGCGTTAATTATTTGAATTAAACTACTTCTAAAAATGAAACTCAGATGGGCAAAGGAGATTTTTTCAATAATTGAAACGAATCGTATTACTAGTCCTAAAAACGAAAGCAGCTGTATTTACTACCTTGCTTCTAAAAACAAGACACGTAGAAGTTCCCGAGATTCTTTTCAGCACTTGAACTAAATCGAATTATATTACTTCTAAAAATGAAGCACGGTAGAGGCCAAGATTTTTTCAACATACGGAAACACGAAATAAAAGTAGCCAGCCGAGAGTTTTTCAAGTAAAATAGATTATGTTGTAACAGATTATTTCGGCGCTTCAACTAAGTCGAATTATACTACTTCTAAAAATGAAACACCAAGAATTTTTTCAGCGTACGCAAAACGAAATACGAATAGCCGCTAGCCCCCTGAGATTTTTTCAGTAAAACATGTTGTATTATACTACTTCTAAAAACAAAACACAGTTAGGCACTTGAAAATTTTTTAGCACATGAGACATGTAATATGTTACTTCTAAAAACGAAATAAGAGTTGTTGCGCGAGCTTTTTTCAGTGCGTAAATCAAGTCGCATTTACTACTTCTAAAAATGAAACACGGTAGAGGCCAAGACTTTTTCAGCATACGGATGAACGAAATAAAAGTAGCGTCCGAGAGTTTTTCACGTAAAATTTTGTTGTACCAGATTTTTTCGGCGCTTCAACTAAGGCGAATTATACTACTTCTAAAAATGAAACACGGGTAAGCACTCCAGAATTTTTCAGAACATGAAACATTATGTCACTTCTAAAAACGAAACACAGGTTAGTGGACGAGGTTTTTACGGCCCGTTCATCAATCGAATTAAACTACTTCTAAAAATGAAACTCTGATGACCAAAGGAGATTTTTTCAGTAATTCAAACGAATCGTATTACTACTTCTAAAGACGAAATCAACTGTATTTACTACTCTGCTTCCAAAAAAAACAAGACACGAAAAAGTTCCCAAGATTCTTTTCAGCAAATGAACTAAATCGAATTATATTACTTCTAAAAATGAAACACGGTAGAGGCCAAGATTTTTTCAGCATCGAGAAAAACGGAATTAATGTAGCCAGCCGACAGTTTTTCACGTAAAACAGATTATGTTGTACCAGATTATTTCGGCGCTTCAACTATGACGAATTATACTGCTTCTAAAAATGAAACACAGGTAGGCACTCGAGAATTTTTCAGAACATGGAACATGTATTATGTCACTTCTAAAAACGAAACACAGTTTGCTGGACGAAGTTTTTTCGGGGCGTTTATCAACTGAATTAAACTACTTCTAAAAATGAAACTCAGATGAGTAAAGGAGATTTTTTTCAGTAATTGAAACGAATCGTATTACTACTTCTAAAAACGAAAGCAACTGTATTTACCACTCTGCTTCTAAAAACAAGACACGAAAAAGTTCCCAAGATTCTTTTCAGCACTTGAACTAAATCGAATTATATTACTTCTAAAAATGAAACACGGTAGAGGTCAAGACTTTTTCAGCATACGGAAGAACGAATTAAAAGTAGCGTCCGAGAGTTTTTCACGCAAAACAGATTATGTTGTACCAGATTTTTATTATACTACTTCTAAAAATGAAACACGGATTGTTACCACAATTTTTTCAGCGCGTAAAATAAGTTGCATTAAATTACTTTTAAAAATGAAAGACACACAAGTAGGTAACGATGATTTTTCAGCGGTTGAAACGAATCGTGTTACTACTACTTCTAAAACAAAAAACACGTAAGTATCTAAGATTCTTTCAGCGCTTGAACTAAACCGAATTATATTACTTCTAAAAATGAAACACAGTAGACAGCAAGATTTCTTCAGCGTACAGAAAAACTAAACACAAATTGCCGAGATTTTTTCACGTAAAACAAACTGTTTTATATTACTTCTAAAAATGAAACATGGGTTGTTACACGACCTTTCTTCAGCGCATAAGTCAAGTTGCATTAAACTACTTCTAAAAATGAAATACAGGGGTTAACGGGGATTTTTTCAGCGCTTGAAACGAAACGTAGTAGTGCTACTATAAAAAAACGAAAAAAGCTGTATTTACTTCTCTACTTCTAAAAACAAACACGAATAGGTAATCAAGATTCTTTCAGCGCTTGAACTAAGGTGAATTATACTACTTCTAAAAATGAAACACGGATTGTTACAATTTTTTTCAGCACGTAAAACAAGTTGCATTAAATTACTTCCAAAAGTGACAGACACACAAATAGGTAACGACGATTTTTCAGCAGCTGAAACGAATCGTGTTACTACTACTTCTAAAAACAAAACACGAATAAGTATCCAAGATTCTTTCAGCGCTTGAACTAAACCGAATTATATTACTTCTAAAAATGAAACACAGTAGACACCAAGGATGCGATCTTGTTTCTCGATCGAAAAAAACTCGATAGCGATAAAATCTCGTTTGCTGACTGGTTGAGATGCTACATTTCTGTCACATTTCTCGATTCTGTCACGAAATCAAGTCTTCATGGAGTGATATTTTGTCGATAGCTCTGAGTGATAAATTTTAGAGACATAACCTCGAAATTTATGTCAAAATAGAAGTTCAAAATTGTAATTCTGAGTTATAAGTTCTTAAAATTAAGGTAATTGCAAACTTTTGAGCATTTAATAAGCTTATATGCAAAGAATAAATGCAAACTTTTTCATTTAAAAGCGACGCAATGACATTTATCGCAAGTGATAATTTATCACTTCGATCGAGAAACAAAATCGCACCCCAAGATTTCTTCTACGTACGAAAAAACGAAACACAAATAGCCACCCGAGATTTTTTCACGTAAAACAAGTTGTATTATATTACTTCTAAAAATGAAAAACAGAGGAGTAACGGGGATTTTTTCAGCACTTGAAACGAAACGTAGTAGAGCTACTATAAAAAACGAAAGAAGCTGTATTTACTATTATACAACAAAATAAGCTGGTGCTAAGTACGTAAATTTTCTTTCTCACTGTCTATCTATAACGTACAACGAGGATGTGAAAAATAGTCTGTTCGTCGAACGCCAACTTGAAGACGTTTTTAATTCATCACAATTTGACGTGTGAAAACAAAAACAAACAAAAAATGTTGTAAATTTGATTCAAACTTTTGTTGTACAATCTACTTCAACAACAATTTGTTTTTAACAAAGTCTGAAATACACAACTTGCATAACCATTAATATTAATGTGGCAGTCGAGTCATTTAGGAGCTGCATGAATTGAAATAATTAAGAGCAGTTGGCGCCTCGTATTTGCATTTTGTGCAAATTTTGACTCAACATTGTATATTTTTGCATGTTTTAGTAAATTTTTTGAAAAAAAAACGTTTTAATTTATGAAATTAAATTATGAATTCGTCTCAAAATAATGTCATAAATTAATCGAAACTGGATATTTTAGAGAAACAAGTTGACTCCAAATTGTCGTTGACTATTACCCAGTACAAACGTCGTCCGAAACCACTCTTTAGTTCACTTCCGACAACAAAACCAAAAAAAACGGTAATCTCACTTTAGACTTCTGACGGATTAGTCCCTGGAGTTGGACCACGATGATTAAACACCTGCTATTAGCTTAAATAAATATGGTTGCGGGAAAGCTATTTTGCGGTCAGCCATTAATTTAGTGCCGAGCTTAATCTGATGAAGTTCTTTGTAAGGGAAATTTGCGGCAAGAGTCAATATTTACCAAGACATATATTTCCGGCTTTATTAGGCCGATTCCACGTCCCTTCGATAAAATACGGCCAATAAATGTTAGCTTTATTGCTCCAGAATGGCAACATATTGAATCAAAAAACTGATAAACCAACACGATAGTGCTACTGCTCATAATAGAGCCAATCGGACCTTACAAGTTTTTCAATGAATTTACGACCAGCCAGTTTTGACAATAAACAATAATTTATGTTAAAAGAAGACTGACATTCTAGATATATAACTTACAAGTTAACAGTTATCAAAATCCGCGAATTGTGAAAAATTTTCAGGAATTCGTCCTTTTCGACCAGTAGCGAACAACATCATTAAAAACCGCTCCTCTCCCAAAATCCGAAATTCCTGGTCGGCCGCGCCGCCAACCCGACCCGCCGCCCGTCCTCTCTTTTTTCCACGTGTTTAAGTTAAAAATTCCGAGCATTCCTAGCATCGCGATTAGCATGTTGCAGAACTGGCCCCCGAGAATTTGGCCGATTTTCCAGTGCCGAAGTAGCCTCACCGTGCAAGAAGCCGCGACGAGCAGACACCCGAAGGACAGAACGGTGTGCAGCCACATTGCAGACGTCCACCAAGTGTCCCGGATTTAGTTCATCACCGATCCTACACTCGACACATCGCTCGCCTATCGATTCACTCTCGTCCGAAGCACAAACACCGACTAATCTTGACCAGAGCTGTTGCTGCGCCGCTCGACGACCATCAGACTTCTGGCGCTGACTGCCGGTGCCCGATCGGCTTTCCCCCAATCGCCGTTAATTGGCGGCAGGTCGGGGGTCACTTGCGCCGATCGGAGCCGATAAATCGTGGACGCGTAAATCGCCGAAATTTATAATGGGTTTATTTGGCCCGGGCGCCGCTGGGGGTCCTTGTCTCCACCAGTCGGTGGAATTTTTTCCGAAAATTTTGAGTCACTAATCATCGTTTCTTAACTTTGCACCCATCGCAGCAGAGTGCACCTGATAACCAGGCTGACACTGCGAGTGACCTCTTCGGCGTATCACACTGCAACCGAAAGCGAAAGTTGTCCAAAACGACCACGACACCGACAATCTCTTCTTCCACTCGAATCTTGTCCTTTGCACACAGCGTGCAAGAACAGCCATGCATTTTATTATAATAGGGGTCTGCCTGATAAGATGGGTATAGCCGCTGTGCGGGTCATTAAAAGATCAATAATCCAGACCGAGACAATTTACCGAGGCCGTTTCTGCCGCATATTAAGTTCTGGCTTTTGCATCTTCATTTACCACGAAGGAGTGCTGGTGCACGAGCGCCGAGGGCTGCGGTTGGGGCGAATTTCAAGATAACGAGATGTTTCGATAGATCCGTGTATTTTTTTTTAAGTCGTTTGTAGTTTCTGTATGAAGATGACTTGTAACTACAGGCTGAGGAGAGATAAGAGATAAAAATATTAAACAAAGTGAAATTAAATATATAATACAACAAAACCTCATTTTGTATTCACTAAAGTGATGCAATACGTACTCCTACCGTTGTCCATTGGGTAAAATAGCCCTTTACTTCATCTCAAGGTGATCCTTGGAAAATTTTTAATGTCATTTATGTCAAATTTAGGACATATTATGTCGTCTCTTCTGTTTCGGAGAAATCCCTTCCATACTTTCACATGCGTTGTATATCATCCCTTCCGTTCCATAAATCCATGCTGCATTTGCTATCCCGTTCTTCCTCGTCATGTGATTACGAGATTCTTTCAATTTGCCTCCAACACTAGTAGACACATTGAGTTTTTTTCTAATTACTTCAAAAACAAGAGGAGTTCCCTCGAAAACAAAGCACAACGGGTCTCTACGACTCCTTCAAACGACTTGAAAAACCGACAGAAGAGGTGCCCGAGATTTTTTCAAACTACTTCAAAAAGAAAATAAAAGGGTTCCTAGAGATTCTTTCAAACTAAAACTTCAAAACCAAAACAAAGGAAGTTCCGGAGATTCTTTGAAACTACTTAAAAAATTGGTCTAAAGAGTTTAGACAGTACTTCCCTCGCTGTCGGAAACTTGACGACTGCATGCCTATTGTGTTTTTTTTCTCATTACATTTTTGTAGTGGGAATTTAAAAAAAAATTGCGATGACGTCATCAACATTTTTGCAAGGACACGTATATCAGTTGGGATAGATGTAGTGTAATACTAAGAATAAAATTATTATATTCTCAAATTTTCGGGAAAATGAATTGGGTCGTTTTGAATATTGATTTGTAATAATCAATAAAATAACGAAACAATTTACTCACGTATACGTATCAGAGGCAACTGAAAATCGTGTATGTATAAACATTCTTAGTTTAAGATGACAGGCGTAACAGCATACGTGAGAGTCAAACAGAGAAACTGTAAACAAAACGACCATCGGTTTTATTGCTTCGACTTCCGCTTATTATATAAAACATTGGGTTTTATTTTAATTCTTGACGGTGAAATTCACAATTGGTTGATTATAAACATGTCTATTTCACATTCGCGGAACCAAGTGAACGCATAAAACAAATGCAGGTCTGTAATGTTAAAGTCGATGTAAATAAGCGTGCTACGCTTATGTTTCAACCGAGTTTTTCCTTTAACAAATTTTGTGTCTACCAAATTGGGTTGGTTGGGGTGTAATACTAATAATAAGTGTTGCCTTTAATTTAATCAATAAAATAAATTGACTTCATTAATTTTTTTGAACCACCTCTTAAGAAAATCTAAAAAATATGAATGGAATGATAAATCACAAGTACAAACTCATCATATTTTTTGCATTTTAGATAGGATTTATTCAGCAAAATTTAAGGGTGACGTCATCAATTTTTTTAGGAGGGACGAACAAATACATTTTGAACAAAAGTTTACCATGCTTATAATAACTTTAAAATATTCCCAAGATTTCAAAGCATTCGGTTTTCTAATTCCTGATTAAATCAATAAAATAAATTCACGCCTTCATTAATTTTTTTGAGTCACCCTGCATATGCAAATCCAAAAATATGATTGGAATGATAAATCACAAGTACAGACTCATCATATTTTGTACATTTTAAATACAATTTATTCGGCAAACTTTTGAGCTGACGTCATCAGTTTTTTGTAGAAGATAACCAAATGTATTTTGACTAAAAATTTATTATGCTCTTTATAACCTTAAAACATCTGCAAGATTTCAAAGCATTCGGTTTTGTAGTTCCTGATTAAATCAATAAAATAAATTTACGCATTCATTAATTTTTTTGAGTCACCCTGTATATGCAAATCGAAAAAATTTGAATGGAATGATAAATCACAAGAAGAGACTCACCATATTTTGTACATTTTAGATAGGATTTTTTCAGCAAAATTTTGTGGCGACATCATAAATTTTTTAGGGGGGACGACCAAATACGTTTTGATCAAAAATTTACCATGCTTATGATAATTTTAAAATATCTTCAAGATTTCGAAGCATTCGGTTTTGTAGTTCCTGAGTAAATCAGTAAAATAAATTTACGCTTTCATTTATTTTCTTGAATCACCCTGTATATGCAAATCCAAAAAATATGAATGGAGTGATAGATCACAAGTACAGACTGATCATATTTTGTACATTTTAGATATGATTTATTCGGCAAATTTTCGAGCTGACGTCATCAAGTTTTTGGAAGGGATAAGCAAATATATTTTGACTAAACATTTATTATGCTCTTTATAACCTTAAAACATCTGCAAGATGTCAGAGCATTCCGTTTTGTAGTTCCTGATTAAATCAATAAAATATATTTACGCATTCATTAATTTTTTTGAGTCACTCTGTATATGCAAATCCAAAAAATATGAATGGAGTGATAGATCACAAGTACAGACTCATCATATTTTGTACATTTTAGATATGATTTATTCCACAAACTTTTGAGCTGACGTCATCAAGTTTTTGGAGGGGATAAGCAAATATTTTTTGACTAAAGATTTATGATGCTCTTTATAGCCTTAAAACATCTGCAACATTTCAAAGCATTCTGGTTAGCAGATTAAAAATTAAATTTCAAAATGTTGTTTTATAATTTTGATTTTTTTTCCAAAAATCTGGACGTTTCGGGTGAAAAGTCGATTCAGAGTTGTAAACTACATGTGTAGGACTATGTTATTTTATACAATTGAAAACCCATTTACTATGTACAGTTTTGAAGTGACGTCATCGCATTAGTGGTGGGGATGATTAGACAAATTTTGGTTAGCGTTTTACCATCTACATGATATTCTTAATATAAGTACAAAATTTCACAACAATCGGTCGAGTACTTTCGGAGATTATCTGTCTAATAAAAATCCGGGACAACAGACGGACAGACGGACGGACAGACGGACGGACAGACGGACGGACAGACGGACGGACAGACGGACGGACAGACGGACGGACAGACGGACAGACAGACGGAAATGGGAGACCTATTTCTTCGTCTTCTAGGGGTCATGAAATATCGAGAAAACGTAAAAGTAGAGAGTCGGCCGACGGACTCGATTACAATACTTCCTTTGCTTACGCTCGGGAAGTAAAAATCACTAAAAAGGATTCCCAAGATTCTTTATGCACTTCAAAAACCAGGCAAAAGGGGTGTTCGAAATTCTTTCAAACTAGGTCAAAAACCTGGTACAAGGGTTAGATTCTTCCAAACTACAACAAAAACCACTCACAAGGTATCCCCAAATTTCTTTAAAACTACTTCGAAAATTAGGCAGAAGGGGTTCCGGACATTTTTTCAACCTATTTCAAAAAGAAAATAAAAGGGGTCCTGAGATTCTTTCAAATTACTTCAAATATAAAACACAAGGGGTTCGCGAGAATTTTTCAGATTATTTCAAAAATATCACAAGGGATCCATCAAGATCTTTTTTTTATGATTTTATGATGTATCATTTGTCTACACTGTTTTATGTGGCACAGTTGTTTGTGGAAAGATTGTTGATTTTTTTAAATTAAACATTCTATTTTATTCAACAAGAAATGATCAGTTACTCTACTTTAGTACACACATGACTTTCTGTGGCTCTAATAATCCCCTCAATCGCTGTATTTTTCAAACTAATTCTGCTACACAATTAAATTATTATATTTGATACTAATTCCGAAATTATGTTAATTTTCATTTCATTATATTATTGTATACTATTTTTGTTGTCTTTAATTTTTGTAAATTTCCGAGATGCGTTCAAATAAAGATTATTATTACCATTATTATTATTTCTTCAAACTGTTTCAAAGCTGAAACAAAAGAGGTGTTCGAGATTCTTTCAAATTACTTTAAAAACCAGACACAAGAGGTGTTCGAGATGTTTTCAAACTACTTCAAAAAGAAAATAAAAGTGGTCCTAGAGGTTCTTTCAAACTACTTTAAAAAATCATTCCCAAAGGATCCCCGAGATTTTTTCAAACTACTTCAAAACCAAAACACAAAAGATCTATCAGATCACAAGAGCTGCCCGTGATGCTTTCAAACTATTTCAAAAACAAAGGAAGTTCCTGCGATTCTTTCAAAATACGTCAAAAATCAGACACAAGGGATCCTCGAGATTCTTTCAAATTGCTTCAAAACCAGACCAAATAGATGTACGACAAAATAAGAATTGGCCCCAAATATTCTTTCAAACTACTGCAAAAAATCGGTCATTCTTTCTTTAAAACTGCTTCAAAAGCCAAGACAGAAAGGGTTCCCGAGATTCTTTCAAACCACTTCAAAAATAAAACACAAGAGGTCCTGAAAT